TCCAGATTCGGGGCACGATCCACGGCATCAAGCAGTTCCGCACTGTTGTGAAGATTGTGTTTTGCGACGACACCATGGTGAACATGCGATCTGTGCCCGTGAGAAGGTGCTGTCCGACCGGGTGTCGCTCTTCGTTGTATGTGTCCAGGAATGCCTCCTCCTTCTCGCCGCGGATCACGGCCGCGAGCTTCCAGCCTAAGTTGATGGCGTCCTGAATGCCAGTGTTCATACCCTGGCCGCCCGCAGGGGAATGGATGTGCGCCGCGTCGCCGGCCATAAATAGCCGTCCGTCGCGGTAGTTATTAACACCGCGGCAGTTCCAGCGGAAGCTCGTCAGCCACAGCGTCTCTTCAATCTCCAATTTCTTCCCCATCATCTCCTCCACGAACTCTTCAATCTCTTCTTTGTCCGGGTCGCCCTCGCGCTTGCTCCTCGATGATCTTTCGCCTACGAAGCGGACCACGCCGTTCTTGAGAGGAAAGACGACCATTACCCTACTGCCGAGAAAGAGGGAGACACGCTCTGTGTCGTAGTCGCCTTTCACTTTTGCGTCGCAGAGCATGAATTGCTGAGGATATTGCGCACCCTCAAACGTCACGTCGGCGCTGTGCCGGACGACGCTATGTGCGCCGTCGCAGCCGACAATGTACTTTGCCCGTACGACCTCCTTCGAGGTGCCTTTTGTCAAAGTGGTGCTCGCGCGGACGCCGTCTTGCTTGATATCGTCCGCCGACACGCCCCGCTCCACAGTACCGCCATAAACCTCCAGCTGCCGCAGCATGGCAGCCTCGGTGTCGACCTGGGAGATCCACAGCGGCAGGCCGAAGCGGGTATCGTCGAAGCCGAGGTCGTCAAAAGTGCCGGTGACGAGATGGCGCTTGTTGCAGTAGATGTTGACGCCGGGTCCCGCGGTGCCCTCGGCGAGCATGGACTCTGCGATGTGGGGGTGGCGGTGGAGGAGCTCCTGTGAGCGCGGCTGCACGGCCAGGGCGCGGGACTTGTCTGACGGGACGGGGGCCTTGTCGATGATGCGGAAGGGGATGCTCTGCACCGAGAGCTCGAGTGCGAGAGTAAGGCCCGTGGGGCCGGCGCCGATGATGAGAACGTCTGTTTCGCTCATTTTCGGTAGTGATGATCTCTTGGTTGACGATGTCAATGGTCTTTTCTCTGATGGTGAATGCATTGGTGTGGTAGTGCTTCTGAGTGGGCGATGGCAGCAGACGCCAACCGCGACGAGGCAAGGCGGGGTGCTACTTTAAATAACATCTTTTTCCCGCGTAAGTTCGTTTGGGTCATACTGCGGAACATCTAGGGGACTCGATATGCTTCAATGAGGACCAGAGTTTCCATGCCCAACATCAGCTGAACGAACACGTCGGCACCTCGCCTTCACAAGCTCCGTGCTTCATCATAACCGCGTACGTCACATTCATTGCCAGATTGTCGAGGGAGATGTCCGCAGGCAAGAGGTAAGACGGGGAAACACGCAATTTGATCGAGGTGCAGGGTTGTCCACACAACGCATGTCAAGAACAGATACGGGAACCGGGGCTAGATTGAGGCCGGTCGCAGGCGGGGCCATGGGGTTCGTTCTTCTAGCTGGCGATGGCGTTACTTTGAACGGTAAAGTGTATTCTGCCTGGACTTGGCTGTCCTTCTTGGGCCACTTGGGACGATGAATGCGTTGGCTGGCGTGGTTGGAATAGGCTTGTAGTCGGCGGGCGGGAGTTGCAGCTGGGATCTATGGGTGAGGTGAGTCACGTGAGGTATCGGAGGTCGGTCGCTTTGACTCCCGATGGTCCGACATTGTGGGTCACCCAGACTTAAGGAGACTGAACTGAAGGCTGCGGCGAAGATCCAACGGGGATCATTTCTCGTCGATCTCGGGCAATGCAGGAATTGATTATAAGTCCAGTAATGGAAGTCCCTCACTTGAACTTTTGTAAAGTAAGCAAGATCAGTATTCATGCCTTTGAGGGTTTACTTGGGGTGTTTCAAGACGCATTTCTCCAGAGGTTGTTATGTGGCCCTCGTTTGTTGGGGAAAATGCATCTGATGTGTCTCTTGGCAAAAGTCAAACGAGATAGACTTTGGAACCTCGAGATAAGGGCCATTTAGAGCCCTCAACTAAGAGACTGCCACTTACCTTACCTTCACAGGATGAACTAGTCGGAAAGAAAAAATCTCGGCTCCGACATTAATTGAGATATCCAGATCAAAGATCTCTCTCTGGCGCTTTGAGAAGTCGCATTCCGATGCTCAATGCAGACCTAAAGTGAAGAAGGAGATGCAATCCGTTTCAGCTTGGAAAGTGAGAGACGAGCTCAGAAGAAGGAGAGTTTAGGATTTTCTAAAGTTGCAGTATAGTAAGTTAAATGGTAAGTATTAGGTCTCGATTTGATGGAAAAGGTAGGAAAGCGCGAAGCGAGGGTTGCGGTGACTCTACTCTCACCTACCTACACCTGGTGCACAAGGACCGAAACCTCGCCAATGCCTGACAAACTGTTCTACGACCAAGGAGATAAGCATATTTTATTACACCTTTTCTTTTTCTTCTTAATTTTAGAACAAACAGACAAAGAAGTATGTAACGCATTCCACACACTAGCATTTCCAATAAGAAATACATTATCTTGTGAGCAAGATAAGAGAAGGAGGTGACAGAGAAGAAGGATTGTGATTGCTACACTGTACATTGTCGATAGCAAGTGTCTGCGTCCAACGACCTCCCTCAGCGACATTAAGAAAGTTCTTCTTCGTCTCTCCGAATCGGTGATGCTTCCTGCAGATCATGCGTCCAGTAGTTCCAAGCCAAGAGAGCATGCATCGTGGCCTTGGCAAGAACCGGAAGCGTGTGCCCCGGGTAGATGAGATACTCATTCGAATCGTCGCTTTTCTGCACCAAGTCTATGGAGAATCTGGCTCCTGAGGGCTGGAGTTGAATGATTAGTTGAACTTTCGCTGGCCGTTGAACTTTCAAAAACAGAGTTCTCAGCCTACTTTCTTGGCTCGGTTGAAGTGATGGAATAGCATCACGACCTGCGCATTGGTGTCGTCCCATACCTTGAACTACGTTGCTCCAGACGTCAACAATTTTACCTCAGACCCTGGTCATAGTTGTGGCTCATGAAATGCAAGAATACTAACATCTTCAGTCCTGTACTCTACGGGAGTTCCGGCCTCTTCTTTCCACTCCGTGTACTCGGGCGATCCGACCCAACTTCGCCGGAACTTGAGACCGATTTTGACTGTGTCGATTGTCTTTTTGTCTTGACGTTGGGATATCACGTCCTCAAGTGAGTGAAAACGTGCTGTTTTCTTGATCATCAGGCACTGGAGATCTATTCATGTCTGAATCCACCTCTCAAAGACTGAGCCCTGCATCTCAGAGTACTTACCAGTCGCACTTTCAGCCGGGTAATGCCGCATCTCAATATCGAACTGCGGATCGCCTCTTGCGACAACAGCAGCATATCTGCGAAAGCCCCTGTCGGATTCACTTCGTATAAAGATTATGGCATCGCTTGAACCGTAGGGTATCAGTGGGAAGTAAACGAGAACCAAGGCGTCGTCTAAATTCAGGGGGTATTTCTCCGCCACTGCGAATATGTATTTTTTACCTAGTCGTGAAAAGAGCCCTGATTTTGTGTCGGCTTCTTTGAGACGGAATATGCCTCTGGATGGTACTTAGTAGCAGCACTTATGGAGGGACTGGTTGGTGAGGAGGACGTGGGATGGACTTACAGGCGACTTGAGATCGGAGTATGGTCCATGTTTGGTCCAAGATGTATTCTTGGTCGGGCTCACGCACCCAAATCGATTGATCTTATTATGATTCTATGTCTTCGTTATATTTATCGCGGTTTCGCAATTGTCCGTCCATGTTATATCGCCGTCATCGCTCTCATGTTCTGCGACAGCGCGCTAGTGTGCGGCTGATTCGAACCAGCTGAGCTGTGTTGCCCTGAAAGAGTGCCTTGCCAAGGCGCCATCCCGTAATTTTGCGTCTTCTCTCAGCCAGTCATTTTAGCATGTGTTTTCCTTAAGTGTTAGATTGTTAGATTGCCAACAACATGTCGGAACATCCTTGTGTAGTGAGGTTAAATGCTTCATTGCATCTCGTTCTTGATAGTGACGTGAGTTGATTGTTGACATGGCTAGTCTCAACTACGTTGAAGATATTGCCGCAACTTTTGCAAGTCATCAATATGAATTTGCTGGAGCACAAATCAATTGTGCTACTAGTGAAGTCAGTATCGCTAAGCCATGGATTTCCTGAATGTCGTTTCATAGCCTTGCTGAAGCCCCTCTTGCTTCGAATGTTGAGCCAACACCAATGTTCCCCCGAAACATCTAGACCCAACTAACACGATTCCTATGAATTAGGAGTAAGAGTGTTGCTATTGGCTTAAAATCCATTATCGACCAGATAGTGATTAGGAAAAGACTAATTGAACTATCTGCAGCCATTAAAGGTGGGCCTCTGGCTTTTAGTCATGGATAAATAGCGCCCCTCCCCACCTTGGGCTGCTTAACTGTGTAGTTCACATTCAGTGGGTTACCCAGAATGTATGATCCAACAACAGGAACGTCTTTCATCATCTCGTAGTATATCTGTTGATCTGCTCTTACCATGTGAGCTTGTAATCTTCGCTCAATGCCTTTAATCTTGGCAAGGTTGAAGATCCTGGCCTATATCCGAGCCGAGGTTACGGTACCCTCGCTAATTGGCCGGTGCTGGGATCCCAACTTGGAAGTTGCGTGTTGGAACTTTCAACCAACAGAGCACACTTGAACAGTTGTTATCTTCTCAACCAACAGAAATGTGATTGAAAAAGCGGAGAAGCTGTATAAAGTCAGGGGCTCTTTCGAAAAAGAGGGGTAAAATAAGACGATCGTCTCCAGAACCACATCACGCCCATATTCATTCATTCCATAAATCGTGCCAGCAGCCCCCAACTTCTACTCAGCACGTTCACAAGACCAACGGGCTATCAAACATGCAACAAAATGAAGATCAGCCGCCCATCGAGGCAGATGACTCTGGAATCGACGACGCCTCCTCCATCGGCGGTGTCTCAACAGACGAATCCAGCGCATCGCTGAGATCGAGCATTCTGGATTACCGCCGTGAGAACGGACGGACGTACCATCGCATGAGCGATGGAAAGTACGTGTTCCCGAACGACGAGCGCGAGCAAGATCGTCTTGACATTGTCAATCATATCTGGATGCTGGCGCTCGACAATGCCTTCTGTCTGTGTCCCAAGAATGACGGCACAAAAGCTAAGAGAGTCCTCGACATCGGAACCGGCACTGGGACCTGGGCCCTCGACTACGCGGAGACATTCCCGGAGGCCACCGTCCTCGGCGTCGACCTCAGCCCTATCCAGCCCGGTTTCGTTCCCCCCAACTGCAGCTTCGAGGTGGACGACTTGGAAAAGGAGTGGACCTGGTCCAATCCCTTTGACTTTATCCTCTGCCGAAACATGAATGCGAGCTTTTCAGACTGGAACAACATCATCAAGCAGGCGTACGACCACCTCGAGCCCGGTGGCTACTTTGAAATTCAAGATAGCCACTGGCCTCCGGTCGCTGATGATGATACGATGAAAGGCACCGCCATGGATAAATGGGGCGATCTTTTGGTCGAAGCCTGCACTAAGATTGGGCGCCCCGTTGACAAGGAGACGGTTCAGTTGGTTGGCAAGATGGAGGAGATGGGATTTGAGGACGTGAGGAGGGTTCCGTTCAAGTTCCCGTCCACCGGGTGGCCCAAGGACAAAAAGCTCAAGGAGCTTGGTGACTGGAACCGCTCCATGCTCTCGGGCGGTTTGGAGGGCCTAACTCTAGCGCTGCTGACCCGTTACATGGATTGGTCCAAAGAAGAGGCATTGATACTCTGCGCGCAAGTGAGAAAAGAGTTGGCAGACACACGTATACATGCGTACTGGAATGGATATGTCATCTATGGACGGAAGCCTTTGAAGGCAGGCGAAGAGGGTAATGCCAATTGAAGCGCCAGAGAAGAACAACGATGATGCCAAGGCAGATTGGGCACAGATTGATGAGAGGAATTTATGAGACAAATTATGTTCAAATTTGACTAAGCAGAGCCGGGCATGTGCCCTTGATGACGAGTTCGAGATTTGACTCCTTTTTGAGATGTTGATAAGCAATGTAAGTTCTCTGCCCTTCAATCGATGTAGCTTCCCATGCGGTTTACTAAAAGTTCCGACAAACCTCACAATAAACTCAATCATTTATGTGACATGTCAGGAGCTTAGAGTACTGCTAACCATGCTTAGAGGGCGATGTGGTACACGTACCCAAGGTTCTCAATAGGTCTTGTCTCATCCCAATTCCCCGTATCGTGAGATTCCTGGAGAATTTTAGCATTGCACGGCAGAATAATACTGTTGTTGTCTCAGCCACCCAGACACATCATTTCGGAGGCTATCAAGGACTCTCAAGGCACGATGCAGTGGCTGTAGAAACCAGCCACAGAGCGTTAGTTAAAGCCATCTTGCCCTCACCCAATGCATCTCGATTTGATCTTGTAACAAGATGAGACATATCTTATCAGATAGCATTTCTCATGATGGGAAATATGCCCCATTCTGTCTAAGATCTAGTCCATGTCTTGAAACCACTAACGACTCCCAGCCCTGGGACTGGTTCTTATGCGACAACGGTACTTGAGACTTGGCAGATAGTTCTCTAACCTCTTCCAGTCATAAAAGTCGATCACCGAGGTCTGAGACTGGTTGAACCTGGTTGATGGGCCATATAAACTGCCAAGATCATGGATGGAATGCGAGTTCGGCCTGGCAAAACCGAATGGTGCCCATCAGCCAGCCATGGACAACAGGTACTCCGGATCCTGAAGCATTCCTCCGAATTGCGTGCGATCCCCAAGAAAGAAAAGGTACACAAATAAGAACTCCTCTTCATAAGTGCAACAATCAAAGATAGCCTCACTGAAGTATAAAGGTCCTCTGAATTCACTCAATCCCCACTTCAATATCCCATCCTCGTCTTATCTCTACATTTCGCAGCACACAAACTTTAGTTCTCACCTCCTTTCAAGTCCTACAAACCACCATGGCTTCCGACGAAGTTTCCCAGCTCTTCTGGCTCCAGTACGGCGATGCCATCCGACAGGAGTCCGGAGTTAGAAGTGACAACAAGATCTTCTTCTTGGCAACCGAAGCCCAGAAGGGTCCTCTGGCCGGCAACAACGTTCCTGATGCTTACACTGCGCGGGGATTGTACAACCTCGGCAACAACTTATTGTCTACCAACAGCGTCTTCTATAGTCCGTCTGCTCTGCATGGGTACGACAAGGCAATCGGCCTGTGAGTGTAACTTTACATTCTGTGAGGATACCGTCCGTGCTAAAGCCGTGTTCTAGCTACTTGAACTGGGTAGACCTGGTAAGGAAAGTCCTTTGCTGCACTACAGTAACTCTGCTAACGAACAGGAGGGAGGAAAATCTAACCCTGCTTTGGATGCCAACTTTCTGGATGCCTTGAAGAAACAAGCCGCCTACCAGAAAGCTTTTGACAAAGAACAAGACAACGCCCATGCGCAATGGAGGCGAGATACTGACCGCGGGTTGACCGACAAGGCATTCAACGTTTGGGTTCAGAGCGGCAATGCTCCGGCTCGGATGGCTGCGAAGGACAACGTCGACAGCATCTCCCAGACGATTATCAATCTTCAGTTGCATCAGGGAGGCCCCTTGGCTGTCGCCGTCAAGCAAGATAGAGACAGCCTCCGCATGGGCAAGAACGAGGAGACGGACTTTGACGGGTACGTTACAAGCTGGGAAAGTGTGAACATTGCGATTTAATACCGACCGAGGACTGACACTCTGAAGTTACAACATGCACGCTGCAATAGATAATGGTCTCAGCACAGCCGAGATCATCAGCAAGATTAACCAGGGAGATGACATTTCGGAACCGTCCTTCCAGCGTCTGCCCTTGTACGAAGCTGGATCCTACAAGCAGTTCGTGCAGGATGCTCTACAGGAAGCCAATGACGGCGACTACAGCTCGCCTCAGAGGATCGAAGTCAACATCGATGTTGAAGGAGACGCATCGGACTACGAATTTGGGCAAACTGGAGGTGACGGCAACGTTGGAGCTGGTACCGGGTGGTTCTCATTTAGTGATGACGCCAGTCACTCTGAGGAGTCCTACGTCTTGGAAACTGGCTCCGAGTCTTCCGAGGTCGAAGTCACCGTCACCTACAATTCTATCCAAGCTATCAGCATTACCACCGGTCCATGGTATCCCCTCCTATCCCCAGTTATGCTCATCATTTCTGGTACAATGGCTGATTCTTGTTTTCAGGAACGTTGATATGAGCAAGTATAAGTTTCGATCGGACGCCCCAAACAATATCAAAACTCTCACCAGGGCAAGCCAGGCTATTGCCGTGGCAGGTCTTGGCTACGAGATCACGGTCGGCGAGTCGACCGCCGAAATCCTCGATACCAAGTTGGAGGAGACGAAGAATGCCGGGGGCAGCATCAGCATATTTGGCGTTCACATTGGTCTGGGAGGCAGCGGCGAAGATGAGACGCACACTTATGATTGGGATTTGGATAGCCGGACCTTCAGAGTTACCCCAAACTTTGACAATAACGTTGTCACTGTGGTCGGCGCAGTCGCGGAGAAGTACTGAACACGAGTTCCGTTCACCTTCTGCGGGCTGCCCATAAGGATTCCTGCAAGTAATGGTAGACACAGAATCCTTGATAGTCAGCTATCTAAACGTTGTGAGACGGGGCGCCTCCCACCCGCTGACTCTTGGAGTCGTCTCCCTCGTTACTTGTGAACTTAGATATCAATACGTCACGGGCTGGCCTAACCAACTCGTGCACCTAATCAGGGCCGGGCCGGCCGGCCATCTTCCGGCCACGCTAGTGCTCCCGCCACGGGTGCATCAGGCTACAATAAGAGCCCTAGAGCCATGCCCATATCAAGCTAAGGCGCTAGACCCGTCGACGTGATCTGACTAAGCTGATAATACTTAAGCCTATCGGTGCATTGATAGCCTCAGCTAGGTCTTCGCTATTAATAAAAGTTGGGCAGCAATTCTGACTTCGGTATCTTTTGGCAACTTAAAGGCATTAGAATCAGTACCGGTGCTGCGGCGCTAAGACCTTGATCCTTGAGTAATAGAACACGAATAAGGACGTATATCCAAACATTCAACACGTGACCATGGTCGATTCGATAAGGTAGGGAGCCCAAAAGCGTAGGGAAACTCACGCTGAAGTTACTACAAAATGCAGCAAAGACATGTGGTCGAGGGCCTTGGAAACTCTCCCACCCGACGAAAAGGGCCGACTGAAGACCTTTGTCAATGTCGACGCCGACGGGCCAGAGGTGTTGAGCGACATCCTCCAGGCCGCTCAGCAGAAGAAGGTCGAGGCACAGGAAAAGCGGTGGAGGTTTACCTGGCATGGTCATACCTACATCGTTAGAGACTATTTGGAGAAGATTATTGCCTGGGTAGAAAGGTTCAAGGCTGTGGGTGATACAGCTGTGCAGTATGACCCTACTCATGCGGCGCTGCCTTGGGCCTGTGTTCGCTTCTTCCTCCAGGCGGCCGTCGATAACGTGCGGGCTTTCGGCATCATGGCTGAGAACATGAGCCAGGTTGTAAATCTCATTGCTCAATCTGCGATCGTGGAGGACCTGTATCTGGGTCGCAACCTCAAGATTGCCCGCCTCCTGGAACAGTCACTCACTCGACTATATGCTCGTATCCTGCGTTTTCTGGACAGAAGCGCCAACTACTACTCGAACGGCACGGTTAAAAACTTGGCGAAAAGCGCGCTCGGTGACTTGGAGGCTACAAAAAGTATTTCCGATCTGGTCGCCGTCGAGCAGGACGAAATCGAGCGTTGCATGGGGATTGCAGAAGCCGAAATTCGTGAGCTAGATGCCGCAGAGTCAGAGCAAGCTCAATCTCAATACACGACGGACATGAAGAAAATCTTATCGGCCCTAAAATCTCCAATTTGCAGGATTGCCGCAGACACATCGCAACTTCTAAAGCTATCCCAAGAAACTGATCGCCAGACCATATTGAGGTCTCTCTCCACGTTGCCTTATCCGTCTCATCACCAGGCTGCGGTCCGTGGGCGTTTGGATGGGTCAGGAGAATGGCTGTTACATCACCAAGCCTTTCGCAGCTGGCGGGGAAGCAGTTCGTCCACGATTCTTTGGCTGCACGGCATCCCAGGCTGCGGGAAAACAAAGCTCTGCTCGGTTGTCATCGATTCGATTAAAGCCATAAAAGCTGAATCGGCTGAGCTTCTGGCCTTTTTCTACTGCGCCAGAGATCCGCGAGAACCTTTGCGAGGACAGTGCAAAGCCGCTGTACAGAGTCTTCTACGGCAAGCTGTAGCTATGTCCCCGAACCGAACAGTCCCCAAAGCAGTGAAGACTATGTATGAGAAGATACAAGATGAGGGCTTCGAGGAACGTGAGTGGTCGTTGAAGGAATGCAAAGACACTCTCATCCATGTCATGGACATCTACCCCTCACTAACAATCGTTATCGACGCCCTGGATGAATGCGACGAGGATGAACGGATGGACCTTCTCGTCTCGCTTAAGGAAGTGAGAGACAAGTCTGCGAATCTGGTCAAAATTCTTATCTCGAGTCGTGACGATGTTGATATAATCTCATCGCTAGCCGATACGTCAGACATCAGAGTCAGCGCCGCTCACAACTCTGTGGATATCAACCGATTCGTTGATGAGAGAGTTAGTGCGCTCATGGACTCTCGAGAGAACCTCTACGGCCCTGGACTTCCGGGACTTCGCCAAGATGTTGCGTCAGTTTTGTCAGAGAAGGCTGAGGGAATGTAGGTGTTTTATCAAGAGTAAACAGTCATTGAAACTACTGACATATCGAAGGTTCAGATGGGTAGACCTGCAGCTCGACACGTTGAAGCGTGCGAAACTCGACCAGGACCTCAAGTCTCGGCTTGGCCGCCTCCCACGAACCCTTGACAACTCATACTACGCAATCTACTGCGCCATCCAAGACTCTGGGACATTTGCAAAACTCCTTGCCAACGGCGTGTTTCAATGGCTGCTCTATGGACAACAAGCGATAGAAACGGAGACATTCGCGGCCTTCATCTCCCTTGTTACCGGGGCCTCGGTTATCCCGCTGAAACCACAGCACCTGTTGGACATTTGTGGAAATCTGGTAGAGATTGACCCAGCACTCAACGTCTTCCGCTTTGTCCATCTGTCAGTCCGCGAGTTCTTCGAACATTTCCAGGGCCGTGGAGATGAGACATTCACCCCGTCAAAGGGGCATGCAGCCTTGGCCCACCACAGTTTGCTGCACATATGCTCCAGCCTGGCTCCAACTCGCATAGCCGCCAACCAGGAGCTGTTGGGGAAAGGCATCTCCTCGTATCCCATTTCCGAAATATCAGTGAAAAAGTACGTGGATCGGTACTGGCATGAGCACGCCAGGCTAAGCGGAGAAAATCGTTATAAGGTCCCTTTTCAGCCGCTATTCGACACTTTTATTAGACCTCATCCAGATTCCTCGATATTCGAGATCTGGTGTCGTACCGCTGCTTTTGATGGAGTCACGGGACTGGAGCTGGAAAGGTGTTACTCAGCTACCAGAAGCCCGGCCCATCCAGTGTGGCTGGCGTGTGCTTTTGACTTGGAGAAGGCCATAGACTTCTGCAACTGCCAAGGAGGGTTTGACACGGAAATGAGAACAGGTGTTTCTCTCACGCCCCTACTCGAAGCTGCTAGACTCGGTAGCCCTAGCACCCTTCGCAAGTTAGTGGAATGCGGGGCCGACGTTTGGGCAGTGACGGCCAACTACCGCAAGGGCGTCGCGGACTTTGCCCTTGAGAATGGGCATACGTCTGTGATTGAGCAACTTGAGGAGCTCGGTCTGATGAAACTTTTCGCATCAGTCAAGGCCAATGATGGCATGGGCTCCTCTGGCCCGAGAAAATTGGCCAAAGATGAGGCTGCTATAGAGGAGAGACCATCTGTTCATGTCGACTTTCTTGCTCATGAATGGAAGGATGAAGAATTCCGGGCCTCTCGGAGATACCTAGCGTCTCACGGATCCGAATACGGCAACAAAGCTCGCTTGGAAAACGCCGCATGGCGTGCTTGGACGAAGGCTAAGGATGGTCTAAAGACCGTGTCGCCAGAGAAGCTTAATTGGTTAATCTCCTCCTCCGTCTCTGTTTCTTCTTTCGGCTGACCATTCCCAGGTTGAAAGATTGCGATGTGACCTGGCTTTATGGGCCAATGATTACGGGCTCGAATACAAGCCCAAACGGTTCCAAATCAACAGAAAGTCGGTCTTTCAACGAGAACGACTTTACAATCCCTCTGCGTGGGAGGGAAATAAAACATGTTCACTTTAACGAGCAAGTTATGCAAGCCATCTCTGTGGGTCTCAGAGAGGAGGATGTGGATGTGTATGTTGACTCCCCAGACAATGGCAATCATGAGGATCCGAACGAATGACTAATTTCAGAGGAATCCGAGGACATTTATTCATTAAGGTAATTATAGGCCAGAGGACGGTAATGCTTCCGCTAACAACACTTAGGCCCTGATCTTTCCGTGCATATTGTCAGGTACCGGTCGCTAGCGCTTATATTAGCTATATACAAAGATGTTAAAAAACCTTTTTATATCTACTTAAACTGTTTTTTTAAATTATGATAGCGCTATCAGATCCGGTCTCTCAGTAATACTAAAATTATTTAACGTTCTTTTTAGATAAATAATTCAACTATATTAGAAAAATAAGTAATAACGATTAAAACTTTTAGCTCTGTTAAAATAACTCTTTTAATATTCGAGCTATTATACTCAAATAATAAAGTAATATAATTCATGAATATATCCATAGTTCTAGCATTGCTTACGGGAATTTTCGAGTTTTCGCATACTGCGAAGGGTCGATTCTGCGCGCTATGTCTACCTAATCCCGCTCAAGTAACGTCAAGCCCACCCTCCTAACCGTTACTTCGGGTCGTCCTACAATATAGCACTACAAGAATTATACTCTTTGTCATAAATAGAAAAGACGTTAGATCAGGAAGAGGTCGGCGCCTGGGGCATTATTATAAAGGACAACATCGTCACTGTCGGCAAGATGATCAACGCCGAGTGGGAAAAGATTTCGGAGCAGCTCCGGGCCTCGAGGCGCACCGCCAAGCTGTTGGAGTCCCGCCTCCAGGAGCGAGAAGCCATCCTGGCACAGTACCACGAAGAAGATGAAGCCGTCGACATGCTTGGAGCCGGAGGTCCTCTGGGATTCTGGGTAAGGTACTCATCTATTTGTTGCTAGATGCTAAAACTCTGCTTAGCGGTCTCGTCAACCTAACTAAATTGAGATTCCTGAATATCTTCCGATCTCAAGGTCAAGTATCGAAGCATCAACATTAGAAGCTCGAGATAAGTGATTAATAACATCTAGATACCTAACCCACGTTCGTAAGCAAGTTAAAATGGAAAAGAAAAGAGGCAAAATAATTCAACTTGAACTCGCGACCTCTCATCATTCTAGCGACCAAGTACCGGTACATACGTGAATACACATCACATATTCGCCAAACATCTGCTTCCCACCAAACCTACCGCACCGAAAAATGCACAAAAAAACAAGCCATCCATGGCATTATATAGGACCGTGAGCCAACACACAACTCGCTTCTTGGAAGCTAGAATTGTACCGCTCAGCTATCGACTACAACGGACGGTGCTTGTTGCCAACCACTTCACGCTCCCTCCTCAAAAGGGTCCGACATAAATTCGGATCTCAAGACTCGATTGATACTCTATCCGCATCCCACCTTGCCCAGCATATTTTCATGACCCCAACGCCGCAGCGAACCCGTGTACCACAATCTCTTCGCAATCACCCCCACCTCACATCCCAGCAGCAAGAGTATACCCCCCATCAACAGCAAGCGTCTGCCCATTCAGATACTGATTACACGCAAAAAACAGCAACGTAGACGCCATATCCTCATCCCTCCCAGGCCGTCCCGCAATAACCTTATCAGCATACTTCTCCTTTGGGATCTCGCTCTTCTGCTCCTCATCAGCCGGCTCCTTGGTCGTCATCTCACTGGGGAAAACACCAGGCGCGATGCTGTTCACGCGGATCTTGAGCCCATTGAACGCAATCTCCTCGGCGAGCATGCGGTTCACGTGGATCGTCGCCGCCTTGGACGCGTTATACGAGAAGTGGTGCTGCGACTTCTTAATCATGCCGCTGATGCTGCTGATGTTGATGACGGTGCCGGACCAGCCGTGCTGTTCGTCTGTGGATTTCTGCAGGAGGGGGAGGAAGCTCGCGGCGACGTAGAAGACGGCCGCGACGTTTGTGCGGTAGGTCTCGGTCCAGTCCTCGAAGTCGGCGGAGGCGTCGTCGAAGAGGCTTGCTTTCATGTCCTGCGCGGAGTCGCTCTCGACTTCGAAGGCGGCGCTGGAGACGCCGGCGTTGTTGACGAGGATGTCGAGGGCGGGTTCCTTTGATTCGATTTCCTTGTAGAGTTTGTCAATGTCGGATTTCTTGGTGACGTCCGCGACGACGGGGACGATGGAGCCGGGGACGTTTTGGCCGTAGGTTTGGACGGTGTTGTCGAGCTTGGATTGGTTGCGGGAGGTGATGTAGACTTTTGCGCCGTTGGAGGCGAGGGCTTGGGTTGCCATTAGGCCTATGCCTGTGCCGCCGCCTGGAGGGGGTTAGACCACGGTCTCGGAGGATGAGGGGAAAGGAAGTATCGTACCCGTGACGAGAGCGACTTTGCCGGTGAGGTCAAAGAGGTGGTTGCGGGTGAAGAGCTTGTTGCCCTCGGGGCCGGATGTCTTTTGGCCAGTAGACATTTTGGCTTGTTGGATGGGGTGTTTGCGGGATGTGATGTGGATCGTGGGTGTGGTGTTGGGAGAAAAGATTGTTGCGTGTGCTCGCGTGATGAGTGAGGTGGAAATACTCAATTTAGCTGTGTTGACGGCGTGAGGGAGCACAGGAAGAGGTGAAGTTGAGGGCAGAAGGCGGCGGCTATATAAACCTCGTACTGAGGTGACGACTGGATGGGAAAGTACACGGGATGATCTCATCGATATCTAACAAATCGAGACTAGATGCAGAAGGCGCCAATTGAAGCGTAGGAGACACGGAAGAGGCTGTCATGTCATCTTAAACACAATGCAATGCACGCGCGGGAGCAACTGCAGCAAGCCCCAAGCGGTGCTTTTCAGGGGAATAGCCCTGTCATCGAGATTCTACGGTCAGACTTAGACACGTAAAATTCTCGTCAGGTAAGGCTGGCAGCGAATTACTGTCCGCCATGGGGATGGTACACGAGCGGATGAGGTCAGTGAAGCCTCCATGACGACACCCACATACAGTCAACCCCTGGGCCCGCGGAGGGAAAGATCCGGCGAGAGCTCCGGGCGCGGGGGAACTGGAGCTATGGCGGGGCACATGGCATGAGGTAAGCCGACTGCCCCGCCAGTTTGACAATCTAGACCGGCCCAACTTACACAACCTCACCGGCTACACCTCACCTCACCTTGCTCACCTTGCCTTCCTCACCTTGCCTTATCTTGCATTGAGCCTCAACTAATCACACCAAAGCAACACTAACAAAGACACACCCCACTGACGGCACGTAGAAACAGCCTAACCATCATGTGCATAGGAAGAAGCCATCCTGGGTATTTATTCATACAAAACTAATACACTCACGCCCTGATTATCCTCACCTCACAGTGATGTGCTGAATAGCACTCTTCCACTTTTGCTCATCGCTCCTGTGAATCCCATGTTAGCAAATACATCCATCATCTACACATCAAAAGCGAGATCAAAACTTACTTGTCAAACTTGAGAATCCTCCCCAGAACAGGCACAAGCTGCTCCCGCAACTTATTATCCTTCTGCTCCAAAAACTGCAACATAATCGTCTTGAGATACAACGTATCCGCAGACCCTCCCGCGCCTCCAGCCGCAGGCCCACCATTCAGCCCAGACCGGTTCGAGTCCATCGAACTCCGACCACTTGTGACACTCGCCCCAAGCTTGATCTGCACCGTCTTGAGCTCCTTATTCACCTTGTCAAACCTCTGCTTCGACTCCTCAAGCAACCTCCTCAAATCAGACTTTTGCCTCTCGGCGTCCCGAACCTGCTGCTCCGACGCGTCCAGCGTCGTCCGCAGATCCGAAACAGCAGACCGCATCTCTTTGACCTCCGCCTCGGCCTTCTCTTCCACGGATTCGAGCTCCTCCCGCCTCCGCCTCCACTCCCTCTCCCGGCTCTCCAGCTCCTCCTTCTCCGTCGAAAGCGTCTTGATATCCCGCTCCAGGTCGCGAATCTTTTGCTTCAGCTCCTCCGTCTCCCTCGTCTTGCGACGCGCGAGCGTGCTCGATTCGTCCTCCATCCGGTCCCGCTCCTCAATCGCTGCCTCCATCCGCGCCCGCATCTCCCGCACTTTACTATCGGCGCGCTCGTCCACGTCAGCAAGGAGCCCCCGCATCCGCTCCGCCTCACGCGATCGCTCCGAAAGATGCTTCTGGATCTCGGCCAGCTCCTCCTCAAGCGACTCGGACTGCGAACGCGCTTCCTTGAGCTGTATCGTCAGCTCGCCTGTCTGGTCGCGCATGCTGCCCAGTAGACCCTGCGCGTTCGAATACTGCTGCGTCTTGAGATCCGCCTCCTCCTGAAGAGACTTCTTCTCCTTTTCGAGCTTCTCGATTTGCTCTTCGAGCTCCTTGACCTTGGGCCGGAGTTTGTTGGCGTCTTCTTGTACCCGCTGGAGCTCCCGGGCCGTCTTCTCCTCCTTGGCGGCGAGCTCGACCTTTTCGGCCTCGGAGCGACGCAAGTCACGCGCAGACACCCGCTGGGCATCCTCGAGACGGAGCTTGTTGTTCGTCTCGGCCTCAACCTTGCCGCGGAGCGCCTTGATCTCGGTCTCGCGGTCCGACGCCAGGCGTTGCGCCCTCGTCACTTCTGCCTTGAGATCCTTCTCCTTCTTCTCGAGGTTACGCAGCTCTGCGTTCTTCGCGGTAAGCTCCTCCTTGGTCGTCTTGAGCGCAGCAGAGTCCTGACGCAGGCTCTTCATCTCAGGCTGCGCCTTTTGCAGTACCTCGCGTAGGTCGGTGAGGTCCTTGTACCTGCTTTGCGCCAGCTGTTGCGCGGCGCCGAGATCAGACTGCAACGTCGACGACTTGCTCTTGAGATCCTCGTACTCGCGCTGGAGGTTGTCAAACTCGCTCTGGAGCTTCTCTGTCGCCTTGGCATCGTTTGCCGAAGATCCAACCTCCTTCTCAAGCTCCTCGATCCGCGTCTGCAGAGCCTTCTTCTCAGCCTCAAGGTTCTTGATCTTCTCTTTAGCTACAACATGCTCCTGGCCAATTTCGGTGACCTCGTCACGGAGCGTCTCAATTTCCTCGCGAAGATCCTCCTCGGTCTTGCGCTGCTTCGTCAGTCTCTCGATCTGGGAGTCCTTGGTGGTGACTTCCTCCTTGAGACGAGTAATCTCCGCTTCCAGAGCATCCGTGTCAACATCCTTGGCCTCCTCGGCTGCGGGCGGTGTCGCGGTTCCTGCGGTCGTAGTGGGCGTGGCAGGCATGGCAGCGGTGGCGGCAGCGGCACCGCCCTTGCCCTTCTTCTTCTTGTTCTTCTTGGCGTTCTTTGAAGTACCGGCAGCACCTCCAGCTGCGGGCGTGTCGGTCGGCCCAGTTGTTGTTGGGGTAGCGGGTACGGATTCGCTCGCCTGCTTCTCAAGCTGCTTAGTAAGGTCGTCAATCTTCTTCTCGTTGTCAGCCTTCTCCTTCTTCAAGGTCTCGATCTGGCCGTTGAGAGTCTTGATGTTCTTCTCCACGTCCGTCTTGGCGGCCTCCACCTCCTTGGCACGAGCTTCCTCCTTGTCTGCGCGTGCGTTGGACTGTGTGAGTTTCGACTGTGCCTCCTTTGCGTTCTTCTTGGCAGAGTCGACTTCGCCCTTGAGCTTGGCCTCGACCTCCTTGAGCTGTTTCTGCGAGGCTTCCAGACGTTCGGTGAGAGACTTGATCTCGTTGTTTCTTGCCTCGAGCTGCGTCTCCAGAGAAGTCTTGACGGCAGCCACATCGCGCAGCTCACCAGCCTCCTTGGTCACCTTGTCGAGATTCTCCGTCAGATCGGCACTGGATTCCTTGGCGGCGGCGAGTTCGGCCTTGAGCGAGTCGACCTCTGTCTTGAGCTCCGCCTTGACGGTCTCAACCTGCGCCTTGAGCTTCTCAATCTCCTCGTCCTTGGCCGCCATGTCGGATTCGTACTTGGGCGCCTCCTCATCGTAGGAGAAGAAGTCGCCCGCAGCCTCGTCGGGCTTCTCCGCCCCAGGCTCCTGCGCCTTTTGCTTGGGAGAGAAGATGCCGAGAGCCTGCTGCAGGGGGGACTTGACGGCGGACGCATCGGGAGACTTGACGGAGCCGTCGTCCTTTGTATCCGTCGCGGCGTCCACTTTGTCCTTGGACTCTTCCGTCGGAGGGGCAGTTGCAGGTGCCGGTGCCGCAGCCTGCGCCGCTTTGAGCTCCTCAACCTCCTTTTTGAACTTCTCCACGTCCTTCTCGGCGGCTTCGCACTTCTTCTTGAAGTTGTCCTTTTCGATCGACACCCGCTTATACTCGTCCATAATCATCTGCTCCTTCTGCTTCAAGGAGTTGAGATACTCGACGAGAGCCTCGGGTTCCCGGATCGAACCGACGCTGGTGTGTTCCTTAAGCACACGCTCAAAGGGCTCGATGGAGGTGGCGCGGCCGTGGGCGATTCTGTAGGATCGGAGGAGTTCTGCACTTGTATGTCAGCGTTTCGAGTTCAAACACGGTAGTTTGCGTGTGTGCGCGTGCAAGTGGTATACGCACCAGGGTACGTCTTCTCCAGCTTCTCCAACTTGCGAAGCTTTATCTTGACCTCGGGAGACATATCCGCCGCAGCAGCCGGCGGCGCAGCACCAGCAGTAGAAGTAGCGCCCTCAGCACCCTTCTCCTGCTCCTTGTCCCCGTTCTGGCCCTCCTCCGCCTTATCCTTGGCGTTCTCCTCGCTCTTCTCCATATTGCCGTCCTTATCCGCAGCAGGCTTCGGTGTGCCTACGCGACTCGGCTCCTCGCCGTCGTCAAGCGCAAACGCCGCCTCAAAGACAGCAGGGTCCGGGTTCGAGGGGCTTCCGCCGTCGTCCTTTGCGCCGGCGTCGGCTGCCGCCTTCTTGGGACGGGGTCGTCGGGCGGGCGACTGGTTGCTCCGCGAGGTGGAGTCGGACCTGCGCGGGGTGCCTGTGCCTGTGCCTCCGCCTGGTTCGATGCGCTGTCGTGCTTGCTCCTGTCGAGCCTGTTCCTCCGCGATTGTCCGATCGATGGCGCCCTTGAGCCTCTGTTGGATTCCCATCATTGTCAGCGGGGACAGGTCCTGCTTGGGGTGGGGGAAGAAGAGAGGGCAGAAACGGAGATTGGGAGGAAAAGGGAGGCGAAACCACCACGTGTAGGTCTAGATCAAGGTTTTCTTATCCCGGGGAGGAGGGTCTGTGGAAAGAGAGTAAGAGGGTTTGGGGAGGAACACCAGAGACGAACCTGGAACATGTTGCCGATCTAGGGATGATGGGATTACCCTGTGACCATGGAATTCCTCTCTGGGTGTATCGTTTACAATTCAAAGGTGCAGCAGGGAAGGTAAACGGTAAAAGTGGCTCAAAGTCTGAGAGAGCTCTATGCGCAATGGTCGATGTCGAGGATCGAAGGGCGCTGCATTATTGGTGGCGCAAGCACTACGTGGAGAAAGGGAGAGGGAGAAAAGGAACGTTTGGGCCAGCGCTGGTCTTTTGGAGAGGGTGTTTGGGACGAGAGAATGCGA